CCTGGATGCAGTCCTGAGTAATGTGCTCTAGGCAATCCTGCTTTAGCAGGGGAGTTGGACTAGATGATCTCTAGAGGTCCCTTCCAACTCCGAAAATTCTGTGATTCTGTGAATGGAAGTTGTGCCACGTACGTCAGGGCTGAGGAACTAGTCTAATACGATTTACCTACCAGTGTAGGTAGACCCTACTGGTTCGCTACCACAGATTTTTTACTTCCACTTTGAGTGGTGATCTCCTTTTTCCTCATGTACCTTGCCCAGGCCAAGTCTGCTTACTAGTCATCCTAGAAAGACATCAGATATTGCCCAGTGTAGAGATTAATACTAAGCAAAGTGGTGATCTCCTTTTTCCTCATGTACTTTGCCCAGGCCAAGTCTGCTTACTGGTCATCCTAGAAGGACATCAGATATTGCCCAATGTAGAGATTAATACTAAGCAGCATCTGAGGAGGACACCTACCATTCCATTCCACCGGTCTGTTCCCCATGTCCTCACATGAATCAAGCAAATCACTGCAGCGAGCTGTAATCGACAGGGTTGGAATAAAATCAAAATAGCTGCCATAGTGGGAATATATTTCTGTTCCAGAGTACAGACGTATACAATGTCTACTTGACTTAATTGTGTCTGAGGTAGCATACTGAGATCTGAGTCCTATGGCTGGCATAGGGTTGGACACAAAGATCTCAGAAATTAATCAGAACACATTTGAACTGAATGCATCGAGCTGTTATGGGTAGCTGTAAAACAGTCTTTTTTTTCCAAGTGTATGCCACACAGAGAGTATTTGAAGGCTTTTTAGACTTTTTGTGTTGGCTTGACAGCTTTGGGTGACCACCATTGGCAGACAACACAACACAGGTGGTATAACCATTGATACTGGTATTGTGTTTTGATGCAGAAAAATGTCAAGGAACACATGGATCAGCAGCAGTAACACTGTTTTTTTCTCTTGTCACTTATGGTACTGTCCTTGCATGAAAGATAATGCAACTACTGATTGGCCACCCCACTGCTGGCAAAACTTATGGAAAGCTTTTCTTTTACCTTGGTTTCCATCAAAGGGGTTAGTTTGGATGTTTTTCTTTTCCCCTCTGCACAGCTACTTTTTTTCATAAAACTAGGAAATTTTCATCTTTGAGCCTTCTTTGCTTTCAAATTTATCTGAAATTCACAAACAGATTCAGAAGTTACTAAGGTGGAGGAGTAACAGACAAGACAGGGCGTGTAAGCCTTGCTTTGTCAGGAAATCAACCTAAAAATATCTGTTAGATTTAAAGGTTAATGTTATTATTGTAAATAATTTTCCTTTAAATTCCTAAACCAGTAATATCCAAAGCAGTGCTTTTAAAAAGAAAATTGCAGATAATTATTGTACTATATTGTATTTTCTTAATTTTTCAGGTCCACCTCTGCCTCCATCATATTTCAGTCACTTTATTAATAGCATAAAGGTAATTATATCCCATTTGCACTTGAGTTCTGTTAAGCTTTTTTTAAAGTGTACTTTACTATAAAATAAGCATAAAACAGTATAGCATGGTGAAAGACACAAAACAGATAAGAGCATCAACAATTACGAATTCACTTCTTAAACTCTAGCTGCATAGACAAGTTTATTACAAGTATAAGAGATAGCAGATGTCAGTAGTAGATAAATATTACTTTTGAAAAAACTTTGTTACTGAGGCTTTTTACCTTCCCAGTGGTATTAAAGTGAGTCATAATTCACTGTTACCTAACATATGTTGGTATAAATTATCTGCCATAAATGAATGCTTTTGATTCCATGCAAGCTCAGGTAAAAGACATCCGCTACCTAAAGGGTTTCTAGAAAAATTTAGCAACCATTAACAGATTGGGGGGGGGGGGGAAGACTTCGGTGTAATGGTATTTATCTTTTAAGCACATTGAATAAAATAAGTTAAAGTGATGGAAATGACTTTTCCTGGAATCTGTTACAAGAAGGTATACCCATACCTTGATGCATTTGGTCTCTCTCTGTTCCATTATTCTCCTGACTGCATCAGGTGTCAAAAATTAATACCAATGCAATATTATTTTAAATGTTTTTCAGTGAACAAGGCTCTTTAGCAGTAGAAGATCAGGAAAAAAAAAAAAAAGAATCAAGTTATCATTTAATAATGCCACCAAAAGCAGTGTACTGTCAGTTTCCTTGAAGGACTCAGTGCTGTCTGGTTTTCAGATTTTGTTTCTGCTTGGCTGAGCATACCTAAGTTATTCCTATGACATAAAGTGCCCCATGCATGCATGGTAGATTTGATATGGCTTCTTTGATCTTACAGAGTAGTGTCTATAGCTTTACAGCTTTAGCTACAAAGAACTCCTTTTTCATCTAGTCCGTCTCTGCAAATTGGCATGCTTTACAGATAGCTTTATAGTCCCGTTTACTGGGAAACTAAAAAGAACAAAAGTCAGAGGAGGAGCTATACTTAGCCATCTCTACTGGCTTTCTGCAGCTACCTGCCATTCTTGCTTTGCCCTTTGCCTCTTCTATTCACAGGTTTATTTCTCAGAAAGGTGAAACAAAGTAGACCAAAAAAAAGTTGAAAGAAAAAAAACACAGCAACCAACCAGAAGGAAACAGTGTAAGGGGGAACCTACAATTGCTGTGGTTCATTTTGCACATAGAGATAATGACCTAGTGTTTAAACACTTCTTCTTACCTATCTGTTCCCCAAACTAACTGATAATCACTGATGAAGGACAGAAGAGATGACTTTCAAAGTGTCCGCAATTTTGTGTGGCATCTCTTCTGTTATCCTGGTACACATCCCGCCCTCCTCTTCATCCTATGCACAGTAATCTTCACTTGCCACATACTTTAAAATATCTGTCCATTCCATGTCATTCTTGCTTTGCTTTTTCCTTGATGACGGAGAAAAGCAGAAAGCCAGGCTTTTATGCTTCCTCTGACTTTCTCTTTGCTGCCAGCTACAGCACAGAACAAGGTTTTGCTGGGTAGAATAGCAGGAAACAGCAATGGAGGCATTTTCTCTGCCTCCACTTAACCCTACCTTCCCTAGCCCCTGCCCTGAAAGAGCCTTGCAGCCTCAATAGAGAAAGCATTCCTTTTCATTCCATGTCACTGAAGAAGGAAGTGATGTCAAAAATATTTTAAGCAGGTGCTTTTCTTTATTGATCTCAGAGATTTCGTGTAACTTTAAAAGATCAGTGCATAGAGTTCTGATCCCACTTCAGTTCAATGTTTTAAAATATATTCTCTTTAAAGGGTGAAAAAGGAGACAATGGAGTCACTGGTGTAAAAGGGGAAAAAGGAGAACCAAATGGAGGCTTTTTTCTGACAGGACCTCCTGGACCACCTGGAAGACCAGGATTAGTTGTAAGTTATGCAAGTTGTAGAATAGGAATATTTGTGAGTACCCATTGTTTTGATTTAGGAAGCACTGAAAAGAGACACACATCAAGATGATGCTAAGAACTATATAAAAACTCATATGCTAATCACTAGGTGAATACAAGAGTTGCATTAGGTGTAGACACAGACACTTCACTGTTGTGCACGGAATTAATTTGCTATGAAAAATTGATGTAATGTTATGCTTAGCTGTGTAATACAACTACATCAGTATGTAGATTCATGCTATTACTAGCATTACAAATCAAGGCTGTATAAATAACTGGTGATGCTACCACTTATATCCCCCATAAAGGCCAAAATAGACTATATAAAGTTAGACAGAGGCTGACTTGAAAATTATTAGTTAGCTAAGTAATTAATGGTATTTTCCATTCCAGTAATTCAAAAACATGAATGAAAAGTCAGGTGTGTACCCATCTGGATCATTCCTATAAAATTCAGGCACTGTCTAATCTCTACCTAGTTGTTTTATCTTCTGGTAATTGCCACCACAGCTGCTTTGGAATCAAATGCACTAATTCTTAGGAAACTCGCTTATCCCTGGGATCTGGCAACAAATGTGTGCATCACATTTACTCTGTTGTCATGTTCTGTGCCAAGGAGCACAAATGGGTAGGTCACAGCTGAGGACAAAGTGTTAGGTTAGCAAGCCCACCTTCAAAAATCTCCCTGGCGCTATTCCATGTTCCTGAGAACCATCTCCCTGTTTAGAAATTGTTCCACCAGCAAGGACGAGTTGGATGGCACAGCTGAGATCCATCACAAACTGAGCTCTCCTAGTCCAGGGTCCAAAAACTGTTCCACGTGTGCAGGCCAGTTTGAGTACAGGGAGCACAAGCCCTCCTAGTTCAGACTGAAGACACGCTGCTAAACTGGAAATTTAGAGAGTTGGAGCCTTTTTAATCTGGAAGACTGGCAGCTGGAGAGCTTAAGGGATATGTGCTGACATTTGATCACAGGAGGGAGAAGACAACATTCGTCATGAGACATACACCCCGCACAGGCACACATTATGTTAAAGCTTTCCACTGTGTACCTTTGGACAAACTCTTATCTTACAAGCACATCAAAGCAAGCAGTCTCAGCATGAGCAGAGTTTAGATCCAGGACTTTGAGAGTACTGTCCAGAGTTTTGCAGATATCAGCTACTCAGGAATAGGTGTGAGAACTTTCAGAAAGCTTCCTGAAACTTAAATTCTTGAATTTAGTTTAGTATATGGTCAATTTTTTAATTTTCCATTAATATCCATGCCTCCTTGAAGAAAATGGCATACAGACTCCTGTCTAAACAGTGGTGAAGCAGGCTTTCAGAAAATGTTGCCGCCAAAGATGAAGACCCTGCAGCAGTGAAACATACATTCAAAGAAATACTTTTTATCACTGATAGGGACCAAAAGGGGATTCAGTTGTTGGACCCAGAGGACCTCCAGGGTTACCTGGCCTACCTGGCTTACCAGGTTATGGAAAAATTGGACCACCTGGCCCACCTGGCCCACCAGGCCCACCAGGACCCCCTGCAATATATGGCTCAGGTGAGAGAGTGGGATTTTGCTTTTCACTGTGCATGCGAGTGCATAGGCACGCGCTCACACCCACCCACACACACACTGCCACTTCCTTTTCATATGTGTTCTTCCATCTGCCCACCTGCCCTGCACACCTGAATCGGGTTGTTCCCCTCTCTTCTCCTGCCCTTGACCGATTTCTCCTGGTGGGGTGAGTTGGAACTGGGCTCACAAAAGGGACAATTTCTCTGCAAACTCTTTTCTCTGACTAGTGCCATTGCATGAAAAACCTTGTTGTGGCTGTGGCTGGGAGGAAGTCTACATAACAGAGACAGGCTGCCTTGAGAGCTTTGCAAAATTTATAAAATTGAGCAGTTGGCTAAATTTGGGAAGATGTTACTGAGGCCCAAGATGCTTTTCTTGGGGTGAATGCAGTGAAATCCAGTTGGCGGCTGGTCACAAGTGGTTTTCCCCAGGGCTCAGTATCTGGGCCTGTTCTGTTTAATATCTTTATCAATGATCTGGACAAGGGGATCAAGTGCACCTTCAGTGAGTTTACAGATGACACCAAGTTGGGTGGGAATGTTGATCTGCTTGGGGGTAGAAAGGCTCTACAGAGGGATCTGGACAGGCTGGATCGATGGGCCAAAGCCAATGGTATGAGGTTCAACAAGGCCAAGGTCCTGCACTTGGGTCACAACAACCCCATGCAGCGCTACTGGCTTGGGGAAGAGTGGCTAGAAAGCTGCCCGGCAGAAAAGGACCTGGGGATGTTGGTCAACAGCTGGCCGAATATGAGCCAGCAGTGTGCCCAGGTGGCCAAGAAGGCCAATAGCATTCTGGCTTGTACCAGAAATAGTGTGGCCAGCAGGACTAGGGAAGTGATCGACACTCTGTACTCAGCACTAGTGAGCCAACACTTCAAAAACTGCATTCAGTTTTGGGCCCCTTACTACAAGAAAGACATTGAGGTGTTGGAGCATGCCCAAAGAAGGGCAACAGAGCTGGTGAAGGGTTGAAAGTCTTATGAGGAGCAGCTGAGGGAACTGGGCTTGTTTAGCCTGGAGAAAAGGAGGCTCAGGGGAGACCTTATTTCTCTCTACAACTACCTGAAAGAAGGTTGTAGCATGGTGGGAGTTGGTCTCTTCTCCCAAGTGACAAGGAATAGGACAAGAGGCATCAAATTGCACCAGGGGAAGTTTAGATTGAATATTAGGAAAAATTTCTTCACCAAAAGGTTTGACAAGTATTGGAACAGGCTGCCCAGGGAAGTGTTTGAGTCACCATCCCTGGAGTTATTTAAAAGACGTGTCGATGTGGTGCTTAGGGACATGGTTTAGTGGTGGACTTGGTAGTGCTAAGTTAATGGTTGGACTTGATGGTCTTAAAGGTGTTTTCCAACCTAAATGATTCTCTGATTTTATGATTCCCTGATATAAAGGCAGTACCCATGGTAGACTTTAGGTCTAGAATGAAACTGCCGGAGAACTGCTTCTTAAAACCAGTTGTTATGCAAATGTTGAATAGAAACAAAACTTTGGGAGGGTTGGTTACTGTACCTTTAATGATTTTCAATTTCTTGGATTAGAAAAGGAGTAAAAATGTGCCACAATAGACACATAAGGGGAGGAACTTTGCAAACAAGGTAGCACTGGATCTTCAGGTGGATGATCTCAAACTTGCGTCAAAGGAAATATGTGGCTATAAACCAACTGCCACAGTTCAAGACATCTGTGCTTCTGACTCCTCTTGGGTCACGGGCCGCTAGTGACAAGCTTTACACTGTTACATCCAGCCTTTAGATTAGGTTCTAGTGGATGGGGTCCTGACCTCCTCTGACGTTACTTGATAGGTCTTCCTGAGCAAGCAACTCCCTCTGGGAACTGTGACCAGCATGGGAATCCAGCCAGGTGAAAACAGAGCAAAACATGCCTTAATCTCAGCTGAAGATGGAGTACTAACAGAAAGGGAATTGTTAACCAAATAGAGAGGCTATAATGAAGATCTGTCTTGTCTAAAATTTAGGCAGATCTAGCTAATACAGATCTCCATTGCTGAGAACTAACACGCAGTCTGTTTCCCCGCAAGACCTGTGCCTCCAGTATGCTAGTTTGGGGAGCAGACGTCTTTGTCTCCTATTTGTTCTCTCCAGGTATTTCTTGAACCTGGTCAGACTGCTGCCCAGGGGCAAGGTGAGACTCTCAAACTGTCATCCAGTAAATATTATTAATTTAGTGCCTAGCAGAAGTGTTCATCGTCTGAAGAATATTTGAGAAAGAACAAATCCTTAATATGTTCAACGTTGGAACATAGGCCTGTACCTGAATTAGCCCCTGATCTTCATAGTATGGATAGATCCTCAGCATCCATAAAGTCCATAAAGGCCTTCAGCCCTTTTCCTGTGTAATTTATATTGAGCACTTCTGAATATTAGCTAAGAGATCCAGACAGGCAAAACAAATTATTATTAGTCCTCCATCCCTATACTTTTGCTTATCCTCTCTGCAATTAGTCTCCATCATCCTCCTACACATTTTCCTCTTTGCTTTGTAAGAAGGTTCTTTAGGCAGCACACTGATGGATGTCCATTTTACTAAATGTTATGAACACAGATATTTATGTATTTATTACCTTCAAGGCAAAGTTATCTCTGTTAAAGCTCTTACTTATTGTAAGATAAGTAAGATATATTTGGAAATATAATGGGAAAGAGGAATGGCTTATCTGCAGATAGATAGCTCTGAGCACGTCTGAGAACTGAACCCCTTTCCCCTGCCATTGACATGAAGGAACTGCTCTGGAGGATCCTTGTAATTGATTCAGAGCATAGATTCTTCAATTTGTAAAAGATTATTTCAAGGCTCCTCGAGTTTTCACAAAAACAAATATTTTTGAACACTAGAATTTGCTTTATTGGTGCATAACTGCAGCCTCCTAATTCAAGAGTTACAGATCAGTAAAATGCAAGCTCTGGAATGCAGCAGTGCTCTCAGGGTTAGCCTTTATTGACCCTTCAATGGCTCAAATTATATTTTAAGAAAGTATCTTACAATCCTTTATTCAGACTATCAAACTACTTCAGAGTAGAAAGATACAATAAAAGAGAAGATAGTCAATGCTTCACTGAATGTATTCACGAGGGTGGAGGGGAATCTAGAGCTCCACTTTCTCTGAAGATCACTGTGATCCTGATTCCTTTGAAAATTATGAAGGCAGAAGGTACACTTATTTGGCTTATCTTCTGTTACTGTCCTTCAGTCTGTTAAGTTGCCATATCCAGTAAGCTGTGGATGAGTGGACTTTGGTTTTTGTGGGGAGGGCTGCCAGATGTGCTCACCAAAACTTCTCTAAAGGGTAGTTTCAGAGAATATTCCTACATTCTTCCACTTCTGCTTCACTTTTGAAGAGCAATTCTGTCCATATTTGGGGTTATAGCACTATTTGCATAGCTAAGAGCAGCTTAGTGTTCAAGTACCCAACAACGTAGGAATTGGGGAGTGGTTAGGAGCTGAAGCTTGGAGTTCTTTGTGCATGTTTCATACTTCAGATTCACCAGCAGACTAGGTAGGACATGACAGACTTCCTTATGCTCAGGTAGTTTTATTTCCTCCCAGCAGTATAGTAGTGTACTCTGATTGATACCCCTGGACCTGTTTTCTTGCCCTCTCTTTCCATCTCTCTCTTCCTCTACAGAAGGAGTTTCTACTTACAGTTAATACAAGTTCTGCTCAGATCTCAGCTACAGAGCCCTTCTGGGACACACCATGATGCTCAGCAGGGTCCGTGTGTAGTTCTTTCTTCTAAACAGATTCAAAGTTCCATTATCATGATATGCACTTGCACAAGATGCTTGCTTTCAGTCTTCCATATCTTTCCTTCTTTCGTTCCTTAAAATAAATGAGTTTTTACTCCAGAAAAAAAGGGACTTTCAACTCAAGGTGAAGAAATTCATTTTGGGAGTAGAGAGAGGTGCTAGGTACTAGGTGTTGTGGACTGTAGTCTTAGAAGTTCAAGTTCACATCACTGGAGAATTCTTTGTTGCTTTGAAATATAGGCTGAGCTTATACTTGTGAATTTTTTATCTGAGGAAAAGCCCATTTTTGTTTACTTTTCAAGCAAAAGATATAATGGCTCAGTCAAAGCCTATACAGGCAGGAGCTAAAAGTTCTTCCTTTTCCATATGCACATTTTTCCCTTCCATTAGCAGCTAGCAGAAGAGCATTCTGATCAATTTAAGTGGAAGTGGTTCTTGATTTGCTGAGCATCTACAACAGATTGCAATCTGTTGTCCTTAACCTCTCAAATAACAATGAAAAGACTAAGTTTCACCATTGCTTTTAAAAAAATCCTTAGAATGCATTTTCTGTAGTTCGCTGGAATGCAGCTATTCAGAACTTGACTATTCAAGAACTTGACTTAAATAGCCTATGGCTGCTTAAATCTCCCCCTACTCCTAGACACCACCACTAGGTCCTTTCTTTATCTCACTCACCTTCTTTCTCAAAAAAGATGGCCTTCAACATGTATTGTATGCTTGTTTTATTTTAGCAGCCGCAATGCCTGGGCCACCAGGACCTCCTGGAGAGCCAGGGTCACCTGCAACCAGAAACCTGGTAAGACAGTAAAATAAGGAAGTTTACCATTGAAACCTTGCTTCAAATCTTTTGGTGGTCATTGGTAGCACTGAGAGAGGAGTGAAAACTCTGTCCTGTGTTTTTATTAGAATGTTTTCTGGTTTTCTGAACCTCATAATTTTTCAGCAGGGAAAAGTGACAAGAAAAGTCTGTCCATTGCCTTGTTAGTAACAGCCTATTCAAACAAATGCAAAGAATATACTTACAAATACTTAATGGGAGGATGCCAGAGGGATGGGAGCAATCTTTTTTCAGTGGCGCCCAGTGATAGGACGAGGGGTAATGGGCATAAACTTGAACATAGGAAGTTCCATCTTAACATGAGAAGGAACTTCTTTACTTTGAGGGTAGTGGAGCACTGGAACAGGCTGCCCAGAGAGGTGGTGGAGTCTCCCACTCTGGAGACATTCAAAACCCGCCTGGACGCTGTCCTGTGCAACCTGCTGTAGGTGACCCTGCTCTGGCAGGGGGGTTGGACTAGATGATCTCCAGAGGTCCCTTCCAACCCGGACCATTCTGTGATTCTGTGATTCTGTGAATAGCTACTGAATGTCCAGTTTCCATGAAAATAACACTTTACATTACTGTATTAAAACCCAGTAATATAGGTCATTTGATTCTAAGAAGAAAACTGTAGATTTCCCTAGCAAATCTAAAAATTGTTGTGCCAGAGAATAAATATAAATTCAATTGTTTCATTTTCTTACTGCATGAATCAGATCAGAATTGTATCCCAGATATCCATGCAGTAAAAATGACAGCTAAGGCTTCTGTCTCATTAATTTCTAAATTAAATATTCAAATTTCCTGAAAAACAAATTATTCAAGCTAGCAGAAGGGGTTTATTGCAATTTTTGCCTTTTCCACATTCTCACATTACAAGAGAAAAGCAAATTTGGTGGATATTTTTGGCAATTGTGAGAATGCACTAATAAATATTCAGACAATAATCTGAATGTAAGTTTCTTAATGCCTTTCCACCATAGTGTTATCCCTCTGCTAACTGCCTTTTCTCATAAAAATTCAGGACCTGCCAATGATTACAGGTCAGAGGAGAAACAGATGTTCAAAGAGTGGTACCCCAAGGTAGAGGCTTGTAGTTACGGTCTGGGAGCTACTGTCTTGTATAAGGGATCCAAGGCCACTTAGGTCAAAATCAACATTAAAAAACCAACATACAAATCTACAGTAGGGTCTTCGTGATTCATAAAGCGTTAATATGCCTTCTGACACTGAAGAAATGAAAAAGAAATGACACTCAACTGCCAAGAAATGACACTGTCAAGAAACTTGCCCCTGATTTTACACTAACTGCAATTATCAAACAGATTGTGGAAGAAACCCATCTTAGAGAGGACTGTGTTCTTATCTTCAAGCGACAAAGACAGAGGTAATAGGTGCAATGTCCATATCTTACAGACATCAGTTTAAGCCTCCTGATGATGATCTAGAAAAGATAAATTGAAAAATACTTGCGGTGTAAACTAGCGTCATCCGGAAACACAACAAAAGTGATGGAAGAAAACACCCTTAAAGAGATCAGAACACCACTGAGAAAAATATAACAGAAGCAAATGTATCTAGAATTGTTTGTGATATTTATAAGCCTTACCAAATCTCTTCTGAACATTTTGATCTAGTATGTTAAACTGTAGAGATGCAATGATCTTCACTCTGTGCAAAATTAACTGTTCATGTAGTTCTACTACAATCCACAGAATGATGATGCTGGTACACCTAAGTAGCAAGATATTTATGTTACCAAAGCTCTTTGTATGAAATGACATAAAACCAACTTTATGAGCATTTCCTGCAGAAGAAGCCTTGACATTTATGTGTTCAAATGAGACTTAAAATTGACTAATTAATTTGAAAAATGTTTTATATGTCTGATGAAGCATATTTCATTTTCCTACTTGACAGGTTACGACATTCCAAAACATTGAGGGTATGTTGGAAAAAGTTCATTTGGTGGCAGAAGGTACACTAATCTATCTGAGTGAAACTAGTGAGGTTTTTATCCGTGTTCGAAATGGATGGAGAAAATTGCAGGTACTATTGCACTATGTCCTAATCCTTTCCAACTCCCTTATTCAAAATGGAGTTTTTACGGCTATTTTTTACAGGGGTGGAGAACTGTGAGTGCAAAGATTCCTTTTTTTAGTTCAGAAGCTCCTGGTGATACGGTTTTGTTTGCTTTTTGTTTTGGGTTCTCTCAGCTTGGTGAGCTAATTCCAATCCCTGCTGACAGCCTTCCTCCTCCAGCGATATCAAGCCATGTAAGTACAGAATATTGGACTGCGAAAAACTGAGTCTAGATGTGCAAAAACAGGCAATACACTTGGCAGAAGTTGCAGGCAGGTCCCCACACAACATGGTTTTCTGCTGAGACTTGTCAGTTCAAAATAAGCATCCTACCACAACATAAGCTTGCAAATTGGTTCGCACTGGCCAGTCATCTGTTTTCATTATCTTCTGAGACTTCAAACACTACAAAGACAAAGCAGCATCTACAGAAAGCAGAACAAAGCAGGCTGCCTACAACAACAAAAAAAAAAAAAAAACAAACAAAAACACAACAGTATTCTCTTTCTGAACACTGAAGTCAGTCAATCAAGCCCTGGTCTCTTTCAAGGAAACTCAGAGAAGTGTTTCTGAGAAGCAGGTTTTCTTTAAGAGATTATAGTCTTCTATTCATGGTACATCATTGTCATCTCCATGTAGCTTATCCCACAGTATGCTGAGGGTCTATTCTAAAGCCTCAGTTGTTAGTTTGTACCTGACCTCATTCTGCAAGTTATTGTACCAGCCTGCATGTGAACATGCTGTCTGTCCCAAAAAATGGCAGGAGGATGAAAACCAAGAAGTGGCGAAGGGGATAGAGAACAGTCTCATTGATGACAGATTAATTGAACTGACTGCTGAGATAATGAAAGGACAAGAGTGCTAGGAAGGAGCAGCAAGAAGGAAGATGGCCAGAAAGAAACTAAAAAAAAAAAAAAAGTGAGAGTAGGTCAGAGCGAAGTGCACTTAGTACGCTGGGAAAATGTCTAGACCTCATGTTATAAGAAATTGTCTGCAGCCTCCAGCTGACACCACAAGAGTTTCCCAACTGGTACAGTCAGTGTCTTGTTACTCATACTTACCATGACTAGAAAAGAAAACTTTGCTGTTCCTGAAACAGCTCTGAAGATCATCGACCTTCTGGTCTCTACATGCCAATTGCTTAAGAGAGGGAATTACCAAGGCCTTGAGAAATACTCCCAGCCACTACATTTTCTGTTTCCACATCCTCCTTACTCTTCCAGTTTTAATTTTCCTGAACTGGTCTTCTGCTTCTGCCAAGAGCAGGCTACTCCCATGCACGACTTCAGGTGCGATCTGGCACTGACACCAACTCTGTCAGAGCACTGTGGACTGGGTACACTCGGGTCTAGCAAAGCAACTCTGGCCAGGACAGCTTTCCAACACATATTTATTTGACACATCAAATTGATGATACATAGGTAGACTATTCTGACTACACAGTTTGGGTTTGTTTTCAGAGGCAGGGTAGTTTCAGATTCTCCAGTGTTCAATGTTTGCTTTATTTAGAAAACTATTTAGTGTCTATAATTCTAATCTGAGTAACATGTTTAACATATCTGTTTGCGTGTGTTAAAATAACAGGGATTTCAGCCTCTTCCAGCACTGAGCCCAATATCAAATATGAACAATGGAAAACCAGCAGTAAGTATGAGCTCTGTATCGCAACTTCATAGCCGTGGCTTGAAGCGTGACAGTTTGCATCTTGAGGGAGATTTGTGATAATTCCTCTTCAAATTCCCAGATTTTACTTTGAAAATCTACAAATACACTTCTTTAAGTGGTTTAGACATCTCAGAGACAATTTTAAATTGTTTCCTTCAGATCGATTTTCATCTCTAAAAAAAAATCCTGATTCTGAGTTAGGAATACCTCTTCACTTTGCGATTGTACCTACAACACACAGTAGTTTTTAAGTTAACAATAGCGTTACAATTAAATCATTAAAATATTCATTAGAATATTTTCTATCTGCTTGGGTGCTGCTTGTTTTAGACAGACACTATAGAATCTAAATCTTAATTTAAAATACTTTAAAATATTTGGACAAAGAAAGCAAGGTAACTGAGTTGTATCTAGCCTCTCCTTCAAAAAAAAAAAAAAAAAAGTGGATTAGTTCTTGCATCTATGCCATTTGACATGCTGCTTATTATATTTGATAACAGTGAATTTTGAAATGGTGCATGGTTACTTCTTACTACCTATTTCCATGCTTGTAGGATTTGGGATTTTGTTTGTGTGATAACTCCAAAGCCTCTGCTTAAAATTATTAGCTGCTTTTAAAAGAATTTTATTTTTATGTGTATATATTCTTTGTGGTTTCCTTAATGTTCAAACATAAATAGCTATTTCTGCTATGGGTCTCATAGCTTTAAGAAATGTAATGTTATGGCAGCAAATAACTTTCATACCTTGTATGGAAGGTACTAGGTTTTGTGCTCACAGGAGCAGGGGCGGGGGGGTCTAGTTTGTTTCTAATATATACCTTCCCAGTGTTATAAACTTAAAAAAAAAATGGTGGCTTTTCTTCTTATTTTCTCCAGCTGCATCTGGTGGCTTTAAACTCGCCATTTTCTGGTGACATGCGAGCAGATTTTCAGTGTTTCCAACAGGCCCAACTAGCAGGTTTGACGTCTACCTACAGAGCCTTCCTCTCATCACATTTGCAAGATCTGGCCACAGTTGTCAGAAAAACAGACAGATACCATTTACCAATAGTCAATCTTAAGGTAAAAATGAGTACCTAGTACTTGTTATATTAGGATAGGCTGTAGGTGCCCCAAAATCTTGGAAAATGGCAAGAGCAGAAAGTTTCAACCCAAATTGCATTCTATAAAGAAGCAGCTTTGCTTCATATTTTGGAGTTAGGTTCAAGAAACCAAAAAGTAATGATAAAGTAGAAAGTTACAGACTGTCTCACATTTCCTTTGCATTTTCAAGGGTTGCTTTTTTTAATATCCTAAGGCTAATGGTAGAAATAAAGCTATGAGAATAGCCTACTTTGAGCAGACTGCTGACAACACAACAGTATGATGTTTGGCTTTCTGGATATTTTTTTATATCAGCAGGGAAAGTTTTCATATCTCAAAGATAGCTATTATGTTCTACCTTCTAGTATGATCACAGAGTATATAGTAGGCTAAAATACCTATTTTTTTTTTTCATTTCTAAAGATAAAGGCAAATTCCGTGCTTAGGAGTGATGCTGGATTTACCCCAGTGAAACTGAGGGAAGAGTCTAGAGCATGAGTCATTTTGTGGTCTCACATAAACAGACACACTGTAAAACCGAGGAAAACAAACCATGTCTCTGTAGCATTGGCTGGCTCCCAGAACAAATGGCCAAAGAAACCTACAGGAATAACACGTGATGCTTGGAACATGCAGAACGGATGCTACTCTGAAGTGCATTCAAATACAGAGCCTTGGAGACAAATTTGTAAAGACAATATTGTTTCAAATTTGACTGGAAAAACTCAAAAGCAGTTTGAGAGGTAGCCTGATTCAAAGCTTTTGACTTGAACATTTGCAATAGTTTTCACAAAACTGTGACCTCAACAGAAGTTCCAATACAAATTATCTCTATATTTTCTCTATAGCTACAGTAGTTATAAGCAATTTTTCAGACAGTTAGGAGGAAAAGGACAGTGGAAATGGAGATGATCAAGCTGAATATTTTGAGTGACAATAGAACAGAGATGCAACAGTGAGGCAAAGGTGTGGATCAGAGAGCTGTTAGCATAGAGATGATAGATTAGACAATTTCAGGACCATTATGCAGAAACTAATGTGAAATCTGGAGTCATAAAAGCACATAAGATTTTAGATGTATAGATAAGTCTATAAAAGTCAGGTATGACGTGGATTTTGAATTTGTTTTGTTTGTAAAAGTGGCTTTGAAATTTTAACAGGGAGAAACACTTTTCAATAACTGGGAATCTATATTTAATGGAAATGGTGGACAATTCAACATTCATGTTCCAATATACTCCTTTGATGGGAGGAACGTCATGACTGACCCATCTTGGTGAGTTTACATTACTATTTATAAGTTTTACACAACATTTAATCTTACCAGATTGTACAAGTAGCAATACCTTGGCCTACTAGAAATGTGATAAAAATTTCTCCTTTTCCTCATGCCATCTTTCTTCTCCATTTCTGATAGCCTATGAGTGGGATATCAGGTTGTGTTCCCCTTTTCTT